CTCCCCCCGCTCTCTCCTCAGCCCGTGGGTCAGGATTTGTGGGGATTCCTGGGGGTCCCCCTCCAGCACCATATCGGGGTGTCCCCTGAGAGCCTGGGGGTTCTGGTGGCCCCCATGTGTTTGCCACAGGACCACCAAGCTCATCACGTGCCTCAGTGTCCCTGGAGCCATTGCCAGCGGAGAAGAGACCCCAGCCCCATCCTGGGAATGGCTTTGGGTTGCAGGGGTGAGGAATTGGGGAGTGGGATCCCCACTGCTCAGAGCTGGGGCCAGCAGCAGCCCCCCAGAGCCCCTCTTTGCAGAGGAGCCGGGGGCAGAGCCACCAAAGGCAGGAATGTTCCTGCTCCCACCTCCCTGAGTCGTGGGAACCGAGCAGGAGGAGGATGCACCGCACCCCACACGTGTTGTACCCCCAAACACACAGCTCAGGGACTTAACAACAACCAGACCCCATTAATCACATTCCCCAGAGGAGCGATGGGGCTCCAGCGGGGAGGTGAAGCCGCCCCCAAAATACATCCCAGGGCTCTTCCCTCCCCGGCCGCCCCAAAGAGCCCGGAGTGGCCAAATCGGAGGTCACGGGGATCACCCTGATTTTCCGGTTTCTGCTTTTTCTTGCTGGCAGGTGGAGCTGGTTAAAGCAGAAAATCCAGGGGAAATCGGAGCTGGGGGAACACGGGGGCCAGGGGGCTGCAGAGGAGCAGGATGCTCCGTGGGGATGAGCCGGTCCCTGCAGCAGCTCCTGTGCAAATTAATTAAGGGAGCAATATCCAGGCAGGGCTGAGCCCTCCTTGCTGGGCCCCTGGGATTTAGCAAGGGGGTGGCCGATCCCCTCCTGCCCCAGCCCCGGGGTGCCCGCAGCATCTCGGAGCGCGGGGACGAGCAGGTGGCCGTGCGAGGGGACCGGTCGTGATGTGTCATTGGAGCCAAAGAGCTTTTAATCCTCCTCTTTCCAGGGCAGCTTCCCCCGCCGGGGCCGCGGCGGCTGCAAAGCAGCCCTGACCGCCAGGAATTTGTCGCTATGTGCTGGGAAAGCTGCTTCCCACCAGCTGTCGGCAGCCGGGGACGGGGGTGAGGGGCCGTGGGGGCCCTGCTGCGGGCCAGGGTCCTGCTCCAGCCCCAGCATCCTTCCCTGCGCTGGGATGATGCTGGCTTGGCTCTGGCGGGGGCTGGAAGCAGACCTGATGCCAGGATTTGGGGTGCAGCTCCCCCAGAGGTGGCAGCGTTGGGGGTGTGTGTCATCGGAGTTAGCGGGTTTTTGATTCTCGTCTCGCCGAGGGCTGTGGGGCAGAGCTTTCTCCAGCCCCAAGGTCTTCATCCTGACCCTCTGGGACATCCTGGACTCCAGGGGCTTCATCCTGAGCTTGTGGGGCATCCCCAAACTCCACAGGCATCATCCTGACCCTCTGGGGTATCCCCGAGCCCCAGGGGCTTTATCCTGAGTTGTTGGGGTCCCTGGTCCCAGGAGCATCATCCAACCCTATGGGGCATCCTCAACCTCCGGGACCTCGTCCTGACCCCATAGAGCATCCCTGAACCCCAAGAACATCATCCTGACCCTCTGGGGATCCCCTGATCTCAGGGCCACCCCTCTGCCCCACGGCAGCTCCTGGGTGCTGCAGCAGGGTGGGCAGGCTGCCCGGGGGTCCCTGGGGGTCCCCACTCGGTGCCGGGGGCCACGGGGAGGGCTGAGCGGGCCCGGCCGCCTTTGTGCCTCCCCTTTGTGCCCCGCGATTCAGGCGTTCGGGCTTTTATCCGGGAGCCGGGAAGGAGGAGGGCGAAGGGAGCAGGAGAGGGGGGAGAAGGCCTGAGGGGGGAAATGGCGGGAAACGGCGACTCCCTTTGTGTGACAGGGACAGGGACAGGGGACACCCGGCAGTGCCGGCGCTCTGCGTTCTGCCATCCCCGCGGTGTTACTGAACGGCCCCACAGTCCCCAGAGGGATCCCGATGTGGGGTGTGTGGATGCCTGGGTCCTCAATGGGGCTGATCCCATGGAGTGAGGGACCCCAGGAGCTCCCTGAGCCCGTCTGAACCGAGGGAGCTGTTTTGGGGCACTGCTCTCCACGGCTCCCCCAAACCCCACCCGGTGTGGGGCAGGTTGGTGGCTGGGGGGGCTTTTGGAGCAGGTCTGGCCGGATCGTCCCTGTGGCTGTGCTGGGTGGGCACCAGGGCACCCACCAGGGCACCCACCAGGGCACCCACCAGCCTTCCCTGTGCTCCCGGGGTGCTGCCACAGCCCTTCACCAGGATCACCCCTCCCCGAGCCCCTCCTGACGCCCCCAGCTCCGCTCGGTGTCCCCACCCCGCTCCCCTCACCGTCCTGCCTCACACCACATTTTCCATCCTGTGGAGGAAATATTCCCCGGGATGGAGTTTGTCTCATTGTGTTTTCACCCTCCACGGCCTTGCTCTGTGCCAAGAGGCCGGGCAGGAATTTGGCTTGGCCAGGGCTGGACTCTGCTTTCGGGGAAAGGCTCGGATGACCAGTCCTGGAACGATGGAGACGCTGGAGCTCTGGGATTCCATCTGGTTCCCTTGAGCCACGGGGAAGGGCTGTTAGCCCCATCTCACAGTGGGGAAACTGAGGCACAGGCTCAGTTATCCCGTGGGATGATCCCATAGGAAACATTAGCGCCCTGGCCGGGGCCCAGCACCGCGGGAGTGACAGCTGGGGGAAGCGAGGCCGGGTGACCCGACCTGACACGGGGCAGAGGGCACCAAAACCAGCCCAAAACCCTCTGTGGCAGAGAACGAGCAGAGTAACAGCCCTTTCCGCCGCAGCACAACGAGCTGGTTTGGCCAAATAAACAGATTGGAAGAAAAACAAGAGATTTTGCTGCTGGGTAGAAGAGTGCCGGATGCTTCGTGCGTTAAACGCCGTCATTTAGCCGAGAGGAATGTGCTGGATTGCGGTGGGGTCAGAGCAGCCGTGATTTACCCCCGTGCATACAGAGGATGCCGTGGGCAGCACAATTCCCTTTGCACCTCATTTATTGCTTTTCCAGCTTCATTTTTCCTCCTCCGCTGGGTTTCCCACTCCTTCCCCCTTCCCCCTGCCTCGCTTGGCTCCTGCTTGCTGCCAAAATCCAGGGGGATGCTGGCATCCTCCAGTGCCCAGAGTGGAGCATTAGCCTCCCCAGGGCCAGATCCTGCCCTCAGAGCCCAGCCCGGCCCCAAAATGCGGCAGGAAAAAGGATAAAACCAAAATATCCAAGTATAAAATTGGCAGTAAAGCATCAAGCAAGCAGCAAACTCTTCTCAAGGGAAAACATGTGTTGTATATCAAACCCACCAGGATCTTATCACAGCCAGATCATTCTATACACACACACATATAGATATTTATATTTAATTATGCTCCAAAGCCCACTGCATTCTTTGGAAACTTTTTTTTTGGCAAGGAAAAGCACATTGTGGTCAGCAGAGGCACCAAATACTCAGCAGTTCATCCTGGCTGGTGATATTTGAAAAGGTGTTATTGAAACAAAGTTGGAGAGGTGTTAAGTACAAGCAGACGTGTGGCAGGAGCTTTGCTTGGGTGGTTTGAGGGGCTCAAGGGTTTTGGGGGATGCTCAGGGGCTGAGATTTCCTGTGCTGAGCCCTGTGGCATCGCTGGTGAGGAGGAAAAGCTCTGGTTGTGAGTGCTGTGCCCCATTTCCAGCTGGGGGTCCCATGTCTGGGGGGGTCCAGTGCCCCATCCCCAGCCGGGCTTTCCATGTCCCATCCCTGCCTGGGGATCCTGTGTCCCTTCCCTGACTGAGGGTCCTGTTCCCATCCTCATCCAGGATTCCCACATCCCATCCCTGCCCAGAGGTGCCGTCCCCCTCACCATTCCCAGGGAATCAGCGGGGTGGGAGCGGGCAGGGCCGCGGTGCTGGCGCAGCACAATCCGGCACAATGACGAGAATCGGCCCTGACAGCGTGGAGCTACCCTAACCCACACCCAGGGATACCTAGGGACCCCAAAGTGACCCATCCTGGCGATCACTGGGGTGCAGGATGTGCAAACAGCAGCAAATCTCTCCATACAGAGATATATCCAAGAATCAGGGCTGTTTCCAGCCCCGTGGGAGGCAGGGTCACAGCTGGAGCTGGCACAGGGGGAGGCAGGTGGCACACACTGTCGGTGAACATCCTGCTCGGCATGCTAAAATCAGGAGCCACACGCTACAAATACAGCTTAGTTTATAAAAAAGAAGTCACAAATTTGGTATCGTTATAACTTTAGTGCACATATGATGCCCCTCCCACCCCCACGGTCAAAAATTCCCCGCGGCTGGCACGGCCTGCCCCGCTCACCCCAGGGCTAGCAGGGATGGGTGGCACGGTGACCTCTCCCTGCTCCCATGGCACCTTCCTGTTTTGGCGCTTTGGTCCTGCCCTGGCTGTGCCACGGGCACCTCTGCTCCCTGCGCCAGCCTTCCTCCCACCTCACCACTCCCCTCGCTCCCTTCAGCCCAGCTCCTCTTCCTCGGCGTCCACCCTGCAGCTCCTGCCCGTGCCAGGGCCAGGCCACAGCTGCCTGCTCCCCACTCCACCCCCAACCTTACAGATCCATCTCCTGGTCCTTCCAGTCCCTTCTGTGCCCACCGTGTCCCTGGACCGGTCACCACAGCCACCCGCCCCCGAGCCCTGCCAGGCTCCGGGGGTCCAGCTGCCCCCCTGGTGCCAGACCCACTGTGCCCCACAGCATCCCCTGAGCATGCAGCAACCCGGTCCCCTGGGAGCCCCGACCCCGTGCTGCTGCACCCCTCACCCAGCCAGCTCCCTGGGCACCCTGGACAAGCACGCCCTGAGAAAATCCCTTCCCTTCCAGCAGGATCTTCCCAGAACCCCCCAGCCTGCCGGCGGGTGCTGCCACAGCCTGGCTATGTGGCAAGGCCCGACGTGCCACCCTCCCTTTGGGCACCGTTCCCGTGTCCCCAGGGATGCTCTCAGTGACAGCAGGACCGTGGTCCCCCAGCGCCCGCAGGGCCGGGGCTGCGCTCCCGGAGCCGCTCAGTCCACGGGGAACTCGCAGGGGTTCTGGCGCGTGCGCTGGGCCCCCTCGTAGATGCGCTGGAAGTCCCGGTAGCGGGGAGCGCAGCTCAGCCAGGCCTCCCCGAAGTGCAGCCACCCCGTGAACAGGAAGGTGCCGGGGCCCGGCTTGACCCCGCAGCGCAGAGGGGTGCGGATGCTGCCCACCGGCCGCCCCGGCCGCCCGCCCGCCTGGAAAAGCGGGAATTTCTGGCGGTGGATGCGGGTGGCGCTCACCCCGATGATGGATTCCTGCAGCTCTGCATCGTTGGAGACGCTCCGGATGCTGCCGCGGATCACTGAGGGGGGAAGGCAGGGAGGGGTGTCAGTATGGCCCTGGCCCCATTGCCACCCACATCCCCATTCTTGCCCCCATCCCCATCTCCATCATTGTCCCCATGCACATTCCCATCATCATTCCCATCCCCATCTGGGTTCCCATCCCAGTCCCTATCCCCACTTGCATTCTCATTCCCATCCTTATCCCCACCTCCATTCGTGTGTCATTCCCACTCCTGTTCCCATCCCCATCTCCATCCCAGTCCCCATCTTCATCTCCATCTCCATTCCCATCCCAATCTCCAACCCTATTCCTATTCCTATTCCCATTCCCGTTCCCATCCCCATCCCAATTCCCAACTCCATTCCCATCCCCATCTCCAACCCTATTCCTATTCCTATTCCCATTCCCGTTCCCATCCCCATCCCAATTCCCATCTCCATTCCCATTCCTATTCCCATTCCCATTTCCATCCCCATTCCCATTCCCATTAGTTCCCTGCACAGCCCAGGCCAGCCCCTCCATGTGTCCCGGTGTCACCTGTGGTGCCACTCCCAGCCCCGGGGGCCGCACTCACCAAAGTCACTAGTGCAAATGGCCATCAGGATCTCGGTGTCATTGCACGGCCGGCACGCACCTGCGGGGCCGAGCACAGCCTGTCACCACCCCGGGGACACCACCCTCATCCGGCCCCTCCTCACCCCGGCAGGGGAAGGGGAAACTGAGGCAGGGTGAGGCGCTCACCTTCGGCTCCGAGGCTGGCTGCGGGCAGCGCCGGGCGGGCCAGCCAGTCCCCCCGCAGCTCGTAGCGGAATGCGGCGATGCGGCGGCTGATGTCGGGGTGCGGGGTGGCCTGCAGGAACAGAGCCACCTTCTCCTGGGGCAGCCAGCTGAAGCAGCGGGCGCGGGGCCGGGGGGCTTCTGGCAGCAGCAGCTCCAGCACCCCCTCCCTCTCCAGGTAGAGCTGAGCCCCCCGGAAGGTCCCGGTGGGTTTGATGCAGGCGGTGACGTGCGGGGGGCTCCCGCCCTTGACGGCGGCGCTGGTGGGGGGCAGGCGGGGGGCCAGGCGCAGGCGAAGGGCCCCCGTGGGGTAGAGCCATTCCAGCGAGCCCTCGGCACAGTGCAGGGACAGCTGCTCCACGCTGCCAGCCTCCTGTGACAGCCCGCTGGGGGCACAGAGCCTGGTCAGCCTCAGGGGACAGGGACCCCCCCAGCCCGTGTCCCCCAGCCCATCAGCACCCTGCACTCCCCAGCAGCCCCTCCATAGGTCACAGGCAGGAACAGCACCGAGCCCTCAATGACTTGGGGTTCAACCGTATCATTTTGGGGTGTTTGCGTCCCCCAGCACCTTTTGGGAGGAGCTAAGAGGAGGGGGGCTCAGCAGCACAGCCCCCTTCACACCCAGTGTGGGCTCCCAAACCACCCCCAGAGTGACCTCGGGGTCACTGTTCCCACTTGGGGGATCCCCAGTGGATGCCGGGGTCCCCCTCTGGTGCGGGGTGCCTGGAGCCGCTTCTTTCCCGCGGTGTTGTGGGGGGGACACTCCTGGACCCCAGCCTGGGGGGAGCAGGGACAGCCGGGGGCTGCTTTGTCCCTGACAGGACGCTGGTGGCTGCGTGGTCCCCGTGTCCCCTCACGCCCCCCGCGTGGGGCAGCCCCTCCTGGCGGGACCCGGTTCTTTGTTCGGAGTCCGGCGCCTTCGGGCGATGCTTCGGGCCCTGCCGGGGGCTGGGGGTCCCGCCGACCACGGGGATGGGTTTCACGGCTGGGGGGCCTCGGGGAAGTGGTCCCGGAGAGGCGAGGAGTCCCGCGGGGGGACCAGCATCCCTTAAAGCGGGGGGGACCCGCACCCAGGAGTGGGGAAACTGAGGCAGGCGCAGGTTCCCAGCATCCCACCCGTACCCTCCCCACGGATGCGGGAGGGGGGGGGGAGTCAGCACTGAGGATGGGGCGGGAGGGCGGGGAGAGAAGATTCCCCTTCCCCCGTGAACCTGCCCGGGCGGCGGGAGCTCCCCAGGGGCTGCGAGCCGGGGACCCCCGTGTGCCACCCCCGCCCTCCCGGTGCAGTGTTCCCGGTGTTCCCGGTGCCTACCTGCCCCTCCAGCTGCACTGATCGGCCGCCCCGCCGCCGATGGCCGCCCCCAGCCCGGCCAGGCACAGAGCCCGCAGCGCCCACATGGCCGCGCCCGCGGCGGCCCCGGGCGGCCCGGCCCGGCCCGGCCCTGCCCGCAGCGCTGCCCGCAGCGGGGCCGGGGCGGCGGGGACGGGGGAGCGCGGCCGCCACCCCGCGTCGCGCCCCGAACTTTCCGCCAATGGCAACGGAGGGGCGGGCACGGGAGCCGCCCCCAAAGCCCCCTCCCCACCGCCGGGGGCACCGGCGTCCACCGCAGCGGCATCCCCGGAGCCCCCCGGGGCTTCTCCGCGCCCCGCGGCACAGGGGGACACCGGGCAGGGACACTGCTGAGCCAGGGTACGGGACCCGGAGCAAGGCTGGGGTACCCCAGGTTCCAGATCCGCCCCCCCGAAGGTACACCCTGAATTCTGTAGGCCCATGGCTAGTCACAGCCGCCTCTAACAACACCCCGGGACACCCCAATTGTGCACACTCAAAACTGTGCACACCCCAAACTGTGCACACTTCTGGCTGTAGACACCCCAGGCCAGGTACACCCCAAATTTGCACACCCCAGGCTACAGCCAGCCCTGTCTATGCACAGCCAGGCCACGAGCATAGCCCAGGCCATGAACACCCTAATTGCACCCCTCTGGTTTATGAACGCCCCCTGAACTGTGCACCCCAAGACCTGCACACACCCCAGGCCAGGAACACACCAGGATATGCACCCCACGGTCATGTACACCCCAAGCCATGCACGTGTAGGGCTACAAGCACACCAGGCTGGGTACACCCCTATCTGGAAAACCCCACAGCCCCCCTGGTCTACATAACCCCCCAGAACTGTGTACCCCGAGAGTTACACACACCCCAGCCCTGAGTTACACACACCACGGCTTCCCTGCACCCCAGGCTCTGTACACCCCAATTTATGCACACCCCAACCCTTGCACAACCCAACCCGTACACAGCCCATGCAACCCAGGCTATGCACACCCCACACTATGGACACCCCAGGCTACAGCCCCCTGCTTTACACCCCCCAGAACTGCGTACCCCAAAAGTTACACCCTCCCCAACCTCTTTATAACCTCCCCCCATCACCAGCAGCGTCCCCATCCCCACCGAGACACTTTTCCAACCAGGGGGAGCCCCGGCACGTGGAGCCGGGCCTGACACGGGGGTCACGCACTTCCGAACCCCCAATTCTCCCCCTCCAAAGCTGGGCATTTCTTTCCACCCCCTCCCTTCCAGCCGCTATTGTGCCACCACTACAGACCCCACCATTAATTAAGTTTCCATCCAGTGACAGCCCGCCAAAATGTTTGAAATAAACACGGAACAATTGGGATGGGATGATACAGGCCGGGAACAAAGTCCCCGGCCAGAGGGTGGAGCGGAATGGAAATGAGGGATTGTAAATTGGGATGGTGGGAAGAAAGAGGGGAAGGGGAGGGGGGAAGGCAGGCGGGGAGAGGAGGATTCACAGCCCTCCGGCCATGAAATGATGCTGAAAGAAGTCATGCTGCTGGAATCCGTGGAAAATGAGGGGCCGGAGGGGCTGTGGGTTAAGGTGGAGCGGGTCGGGATGTCGGGGTGTTGGGGGGCTGGGGTGGGGGTCGCGGTGGGCGGCTCTCTGCCCGCTGGCCCTCGTGTTGAGCCCACCAGCTGCCGTGTGGGGTTTGGCTGGGTCGAGGGTCTGGCTGTGCCCAGGAGGGTCACAGTGACCCCGGCCCGGGGGGGACACGGTCCCAGGGCCGAGCCGGGGACACAGTGAGGATGTGGAGCCTGCTGGGCTCGGAGCTGGGCAGGGAAACCAGCCAGGGGACCCCAGGAATGGCTTTGGCCAGGTGCCCAGGGGCGAGGTGGCAGCCAGAGGAGGGGTGGCACCAGAGGTGACACCAGGCACCGGTGTCCCCGCGCAAGGACCTCTCTCCACCGAGACTGATCCCCGGCAGGGTGGGGCGCTCAGCACCCTGCGGGGATGTTCCTTGGGGACACCCCAGGGTGCGGGGAGGTGGGACACGGTGCCACATGGCAGTGGCTGCCTTAATGCCAGGGCCCCGGGGTGAGGCTGCACCCCTGGCCCCCTCCACAGCCCCCGGCCCACCTTAACTGGGTGTTACTGGAGAAACCTCGGCCCCAGCTGGACCACCAGCCCTGGCTTCCCTCCCTCGGCACGATGTGGGCACCCCCGCATTCGGGGCACCCCCGCATTCGGGGCACCCCCGCATTCGGGACATGGCCATCGGGGGGTCCCGGAGCCCCTTTGGAGCAGCCACCGGAGCTGGGGCTGAGCCGGGACCGGGCACAGCTCCCGCAGCACCCCGTAATCGCCTCCGGATCACCCCTTGGGGCTGAGCACCTCTGGACACCTTCGGAGAAGCCAGACGTGCCCGGAGTTCTGGCTGATGGCCCTCCCCTGACCGTGTCCCCAGCGTCGCCGTGTCCCCTGGCCACCCCCTCCTGGCGTTGTCCCCGTGGGACTGGGGAGGACCGGGGGGGGTCCGAGTGCCCCCCGCCCCCGGGAGCTCCCTGAAGCCCCCGGGCCCTGCTGAGTGTCCGGAGCCGCTCGGGGCCCCTCGGTGTTCCGGGATGCTCGGGCTCGCAGTGCCCTCTGGTGACCGCGGGCACGGCGGCCGGGAACCGCCACCCCCGGGCCAGGGGACCCGCGGGGGGCTCGGTGGGGCTGCGGATAAACACGTCCCGCAGAACTTCAACTCATCCAACAGAACCTTCGAAGAGCACCCGGTGCCGCCCCTGCCCTGGGCAGGGACATCTCACAGCAGGCCGGGCTGCTCCAGCCCCGTGGGGCACCCACAGCTCCTCCAGCTCCTCAGCGCCTCCCCCACAAGGCGTTTCCTCCTTTTATCCAATCTAAACGCACCCTCTTCCAGCTGAAAACTGTTCCCCCTTCTGTCTACAGTCCCTGGCGAAAGCCTCTCTCTGTCACTCTTCCAAGATCCCTGAGGTATCCCCAGGATGCCAGAAGGTTTCCTCCAGGCTGGATGGCCCCAGCTCTCCCAGCCTTTCCCAAGAGAGGTTCTTCCAGCTCCCTGACCATTTCCATGTCCCCTCTGGATCCGCTCTGACTCACCCAGGACTGTTCTGTCCCAAACCCATCTGCCACTCACCGAGCTCTCCGTGCTCCGTGGCAGGAGGGCCCTGTCTGCTTCATTTTGGAAGGATTTTGGATCAGGATTTTGGACATCCTGTCTCTTCCTGCTGGGTCACCCCGAAGTTTTTTCTTTCCTGGGCAGCTCTCCCCACTCCCGAAGTTTCTGGCAGGTCCCTGGGGCATCAATTCTGCCACAAAATGTCCTTCTGGGGTGGCTCTGGCATGGGCAGGGGTGCTCCAGGCTAGGAGCAGCCTCCTGGAAAGGCAAAAGGGGGATTTGGGGCAGCAGGGACCTTGGAGGGCTGCTCAGAGCCTGTCCCCATCCAGCTCCCCATCCCCCTGGGCTGCGTGGGGAGCTCTCCCGCCCAGCTGAGCACCCAAAGGAGCTGCGGCTGTGGGAGGCACCCACCTTGTCTTTAAAAAATATCTCAGGAGCCTCAGCTCAGCTCCCAGCCCATCCCTGGGGATCTGCAGGGATAACCCGAGCTCCTCTCTGTGGAACCCAGCAGGGTCTGTCCCCTCCCAGTGTCCCCTCTCATCCAGACCCCCAGAGAGCTCTGGAGGGGATGCAGGGCAAGGGTCCCCAACAGCAAGGTGGGGATCCCCCAAAGCAAAGATGGGGTCCACATGTGGAAGGAAGCAGAGGTCCACATGGAGAGGAGGGGGTCCCATGGCCAGGTGGAGTCACCGTGGCCAGGTGGAGGTCCACACTAGTGGGAGAAGGTTCCCACGAAAGGATGAGGCTCCCAGCAGCTGCAGGAGAGTCCTCATGGCTGCTCGAGAGTCCCCACAACAGGACGAGGGTTCCCAGAGTGAGAAGAGGCTCCCTGCAGCAGCGTGACCATCCCCATGGCTCTGTGGGGGTCCCCACAGAAACCTGAAAGTCCCCATGTCCTCTCCCACCCTCACGTGGATCGGGGGGACCTGAGGGGGAATCAGATCCTCGGCAGGGAGGAGCTCTGAGCCCTGGGGTCAGCACAAAAGGGGCTGAGCCCCGGGGGTCCCCAGGGTGACCCAGGCTGGACAGGCCCCCCCCGCTGCCCCATCCTCACCCCCGCCCCCCCGCTCGTGCATCCTGCGGGGCAGCGAATGGAGCTGCCTATTGATTCACAACCCGGGCTAAAAATAACTTTCAACTCTTCATCCCGAGCTGTGAAAAATCCCCCATTGCTAGGCGACGGGTTACCGGGAGACAGCGGCGCTAGGCGACGGCGGTTGCTGCGGCGACGGCCCCCGGCGCACTGCGGTCCAGCTCGGCCACCGCCGCTCCGGCCCCGCCGGGGATGCTCCAGCTGCACCGGGATGGCTCTGCCCAGGCTCCCAGAGCCGTGGGGACAGGCTGGGTGCGAGCTCCAGCATCCCCGGGGCGCTGGGATGGGATGGGATGGGATGGGATGGGATGGGATGGGATGGGATGGGATGGGATGGGATGGGATGGGAGCAGAGGCTGCAGGAGCTGTGTCACTTGGCTCTCAGCTGCTGGTCTGGCCTCAGAGTGGGGACACTGGCCACCACCCTGGCGCTCATGGGACAGGCCCCATGGAGCATGGGGGCTCGGGAGGCTTGTGATGGTGACCTGTGGCTGCAGGGTGAAGTGGGGTGACCAGCACCCCACACCAGGCACCCAGGGACAGCCTGTATCCCCTTCCCCAGGGACACACACACGCATGGAATCTCCTCTTGCCCAGGGACTCATCTTGTTGAGGAAGTTTTCAGCCTTCTTGGCATGAAAATGTCTCCAGGATGTGGGGCCACAACAAATTGTTCCCGCTGAGTCCTGGAGGTGGCAGGGGTTAGTGACAATGGGCCTGTGCCGAGACCAAGAGAACACCAAGGACCATCCAGGGTCCCACTGCCTCCCAGTGCCTGCCACCCCCAACGGCACTTGGCCTGCTCTGCCTCCACCCCCAAGGAAGGGCTGGACCATGATTTCTGCTCCCAGGC